CTTCACATGCTTATTAGATGGCAGGGCCGAATAGAGCGATGGTGTTTGAAGGAACTCCACGAACCTGCAATGAGAAGCGTAGACTCTGGGGAGTGTGGTGAGCGAACACAGGACCTTATCCATTCATGCATACGTAGCTCATTCCTAATTTCAGTGGTGCTTGCTCGAACTTCCAAATTATTTGTTCCAAAATATCCTTCACTACGGAAGACTCCTTTAGGTTCCTATTAAACGCAAAGTTGTAACAATTAACAGTTTGTGGATTAGCGTGGAACAAATAACAAATGAACCTGCACCACCACAAAAGGTTTATTGCCTAGGTGACCGTTTAAGAAGAATAGTGGCCAGTAAAGAAGTAATCAATCAATCTGGAGCATTTGTTTAGTCAGTTCACTTCCATGATGAATTCTTGAGCTTCTGCAGCGGTGCGGTCTTCGTTATGAAAGTGTTCTGAAAGTGAATGCAGTAAAACGGCGCGACACAATGCCACAACTGCTTTTGAAGCCCTGCATTCAGCTATGACTAGCTTTAGTAGGGTTCTGAACCGAATAATCTTCACTGTTCATTCTTCTCGCTAATCGTTTGATATTATTGTCATGCAGTGTGATGCCAGCATTGAGCCTCGACATCACTTCTCACTTCAACTTGTCCGCAGGCGTCTGCAGTCGGATGAAGCGATCAACACGAAGAGCTCGAGTCAAAATGCGTTCCCTGTCTGTTTCCTTCTGCTTAACCAAACTCAGACACACTGAAACTTTATTGGTAATAGCACACAACAATGCAATTGAGAAATGGCAGGAGTTGTAGGAGCGGAGAGTAAGGAGAAGCAAATCTGGAATCTAAAGATTTAGTGGCCTTTAAATACCCTCTGTCATCGCCACGTCAGTTAGGCGTAGCCTAACAAAAATCATCGCTGTCTAACAGGTTGACAACCGTGCAAACGCGTTGTCCTGTTAACCGTCAACACCTGATTATTATGGTTTCAGAGCTAGTAACTATGAAGTAACTTCATAACTCACCAGCAACCACAGCTTCTCCAAGTGATGTTTGTTGGAAAGAAAGCGGTCCTTGTCCTTTTGCACGCAAGAAAGGGAACGACTTCCTCAACCAGATAAGCGGCAGACTTCAATCGTTTCGTCTACCTAAATTGAAACCACATAATTTCTCAATGTTCGGAGAAGCGGTGACCCACCCTGTCCTTCGCAACCACCACATAACTAAAAATGAAGGCTTCTTCGACAAGCTGTTCAGCTTGTTACACTCTTTATCCTCCGAACTCCATCACAAACGTCTTCGCCATCCTCAAGATATGTCTCCTCGTCAGTGTCGATTATCAAGATGTCGCTTTCCACTTATCGTAAAACAGATATAAACTTGTCCATCACTTTCTGTTCATTGAGAGAAGGTAGGCGTGTGATATCGCGTGCACCGAAATTCTTCAGCAAGTATGCCAACATCGATCTTGGGCGGAACATTTCAAAATAGAACGCAGAAGAGACTTCGGTGCTAGGATGCCACGTATAGGTAGACTATGACGTGTGAGGTGATCATATCGATAATCTTGACGAGTTTAGAATTTGTGGTTCCAGATGAGCAAATTCTGTTCACCTCTTCAAACAGTTCCTATCATAATCCTGGTACGTCGCAGGTACTTGAGCACAACACAGGGGAGTTTGAATTAACTCCTCAACAATACTGCTTCGCGTCTGATTTGGTGGGATATCCCACCGAATCAGACGCGAAGCAGTATTTATTTATTTATTTATTTACTGAGCGCGGAGCGATCCCGATCGGTGATAATCCACAGCACAGACGCGAAGCAAGATATTACGTTATTTATTTATTTATTTATTTATTTATTTATTTATTTATTTATTTATTTATTTACTGTGCGCGGAGGAGACGCGCTTTAACAAGTCAAGCAAGAGGGCAGATAGAGGTAGCAGCTGTTAAGGACTTCAACGATAACTAACAAGAACATAAAAATGAAAACAAAGGAAATCAAAGTGTAAAGATGAGGATTGCTGCATCACAAAGAGCTCTAGAGTAAAAAAGGACCAACAACTTACGCGCAGTGAAGGATCGGGTAGACTGCAGAGCGGATCAATGGAAACAAAGAAAGGATGAAAAAGCTTACCAGTCAAGCGGACCACATTGCAGTGATGCTAAGATGAAGAAATGAAGCCGATGAGGAAGAGATAGTATCTGAATGGTCCAATGGTCCGGTAGAAAAGAGGTGGCAGAAGTCATCGCAAGTCATTGCATACAGCTAAATTCAACCTTATGACCTCAGACCCGCATCAGTCGGCAATGATGCCCTCCAGCCACAGGCGGAGTCATAACGAGCTTGCCGAAACTTCGGGACACGGGTATACCGACCACCCCGTGGAGACGGCAAGCTGGGTAGGTGTCATAAGCGAGACTATTGACATCCTAGTAAACATCGACAGCCACCTTCAAAATTTTATGGAGGACCAACAGTGTAAAAACGATGAGTTCAATAAAGGATTGACTGAAGTTCTTTCACTACTCCTACCGGAGCAGGATTCTATGCCAGGCGGACATTGGACTGGTAAGCGATTACAATTAAACGTCGGCACTGCTGAATAACAAGAGAAAACACATCAATAGATGCCGATTCCCAAAATGTTTAGTACGTTGACCTTTCTGATGTAGTTTTTGATGTCTTTTGAATTACCAAGCACAAGAAGACGAGAAGGCAGCCGCTCCAGCCATTTCGTGTCCGAAGAATGAAAGAGTTAGTCTGACTTACTGTCCACTTGCCTCATCTTTAGGTGTGGTTACTGGAATGCGCCATATCACCCAGACTCGCTCGAAAGTCGACGGCTTTACACGGTGTTCACTCTTCAGTAGCTTGAATGCTAAAATCAAATCTGATTGTATGTGTCTGTAAAATAGGCTTTTCATATTCAGTTTTTGTAGCGGCTGTTAAGAGGGTAGATGAGGGTAGTTTATCTGAAAAATACCCTGAGAAAGATACCGCAGAAATCTTTCTAAATTTAAACTTTTCTGATGATAATCGTCGACATAATAGATTCAGTAGCCTTTGAGCTTCATCTCTGCTATCATCGTCAAAGGCGACGGATACTTTAATGTCGTCAGCATAGGCCGCAACATAAACTCTAGGGTCAATCTTGATACTGTTAATAAGGTCACAGGTGTACAAGAGAAATAGCAGCGGAGACAGACTACCACCTTGAGGGACTCCGGAAGTACAGCTTCTAGGCGAGCGATAGTCAGAACAGCGTACACACATTTGCCAAGCCGTTCGAGGTAAGATCGAAACCATTGCAGTAAAACCCCATGAATGCCGATGCTCTCAAGTTTTATCAGAAGGCCGGACCTAGACACTGTATCACAATCTCTTATTTGTAAGTATGTGCCTATAGTCTTGATTCCTTTCTGCATGGAAGTACAAAATAAGTCATCTCATCCAAAATGCCTACGGTTTTGATCAAAATAAATGAATGAACACCCAGAAAGATAAAAGCTAATACTTTGGTGTTAAGTCAAGCAGATCTTGTCGTTGTTAACGACCCGATCCCAGCGTCTAGAAAACACTGGACACCGCGCAGCTTCTTTATTTCAACAAGTATAGACAAGATGCTTTTGATGTCAGTATAGATGATCAACGAGTTGTCGTAGCGCTTGCAACGAGTAGTGCCTTCACTTCGCTAAAACAGCTGAGGTCGCACGGCTGCAGTTGGGAAAATACGGCCTTGATAAGAAGAGGTCACAATATCCGTTTGGTCGAAGTACCCGTGAGCAATATGAGCTATGTGGGGTCTGGCATCGGCATAGGTGATGATATCGTTATTGCAGTTTTGTACTGCTATTCCTTTGTCAATTTGATCGCTAAGAAACAAGCCATACACTTGAGCACCGATGGAGGTTTTTTCCCGACAGAGCCGCTTAAGAGGCACATCTCAGAAATCCATCGCCATAATCATCATCCACGTGAACCCACGTGACTTTTCGTGATCCAATTCGGGCAGTTCCTCATTCGCGTTAATCCAAAGTTGACGCTTCTGACTTGGCCTCAGCGTACAATTCCACTCAAATTTCGTTTATGAGCAGAGTCCAGTTTGATACTCTTAAATGACGCTATTGGCAGAGAAGTCATGCTTACCAGACACCAATTCGATTCTGGACTCTTGCATCTGGGAATAAATGGGATATATCAAAAACATGTTCTGTGGACCATCCCCAATTTTTGGGCACAATTCGCGTAACAGGTGCAGCTAGACTGCAAGTCTCGTGGGCAAACATCGCAAAGGTTCAACATCTGTGATGCGCCATTTGAAACCTCATTTCATCCACCCGCTCTTCTTGGGCAAGGGCAATGTGAGCGCGTCCTCAACCACAACTCGCATCCGTTCTTCCTTCTTTGAGCTCTCACACCATATCTTCAACGTAGCACTTCGAGAACACTGTATCACGCGTAAGCTGAGCCAGCACACAGAGAATTCGAGTTGCGAATTTTACGTATGTCACCAATCATTTGAAAATTCCGCCTCGATTTTGGTCACTATGAGTTTTCTTATGTTTTAAGTGTATTCGCGGCACTACAAACTTAATTGGGTATACCGTAGCAAGGTGTGCTAGCTTCAAAACAAAAGCAAGCAGAATGCTCTAGCGCTTTTACGTTACCACACATTTCTCTAGATGTCTGGACATGTTTGAATGAGATGACCCAATACTTCAAAATAATCAGCAAGCGCTTCGGCCTTGCTTTGATTAGTAGAATACGTTTCCCCACCTGGTCTTTCTAATGCACGCAATACTGGCACTTGTTAGAGAAATTTGTTCGTGAACGCAGCCAGATGCTTCATATTGCCTTTTTCTGCCATTTTTGATTTTGTAGGCCAAAAACGCCTTAATATGTCTAGATTTCTGTAATCTCAGCTAATACGTCTGAATCATGGGTTTCCAGTCTGTGCCGAAAAAAAAAAATTAATCCTCTCCCATATTGATTAGAACTAGGGGACCTGTTGTGGAGAGTAACGTTTCCCTTTTGCGGCATCAAGGAATGGAGCCAAACTGATGTTCAACGAAATCTGGCATAAACATCGTCTAGGTTGACAAAGCCGGAGAATACCCTAAACCAGTCAATTTGTAAGAGGTGATAAACGATGGCATCCCTATTCATTTGGCTGAAAACCCCTAGAGGGGGTAGTATGCTCCGCATGCTTAACATCCACCAGTGAAAATGCTACTATGTTGTGATCAGATGATGCTAATGGGGGTAGGGTGTGCACACGTGTAATACTATTAGGTTGTCTCATAAGTAGTGTCGCTTTTTTTCAACCAAAAAATTTTCATCTAAATCCCCACGCTTTTTACTTTGATTCATATACCATTCGAAAGAGAATTGTCTGCTCTACAAGATGCGTGTGTTCTCTTCCATCTATGTTCCATGGTTTTCAAATTTTAGGCCTGCGAAATGGGAGGTCCAGCCGACAAAAATTGACCAAACCGACAACTATCTCTAACTTTATCTTCCCTTGGGAGAAATCAATCAATACTGTACCCTCTACTTATGCATGACCTCTTCTAAACATTACACTATTAGGTTTCCCAACAAGTCGCGTCATTCCATTTTCAGACCTGGTTTTTCAACCAGAACTCGACGGTCAAGCACCATTACCTGAGATCGAGGTCGAAATTTTTTTATAGCCGAGACATTGAAAAACTAGTAGAATTTAAAGAACAAGTCATGACTAAGTTAGGAATGTACGCCTGGTTGATTTTCTCATCTTCTCAGGGATAATTTTTTTCAAAGAAATGCGGTCACTTTCGTGGATAAAGCACCTTACTCCTAAACACCTAAAATTCGAGCTAATTCCTAACAAACATCAAAACAAAACAAATGAGCGAATAGAGCAGAAGAAGTGCTCACAAAAGATACACCAGTTGATATAAAACAATAGCGTTTCAGAGGAAGAATTTCAATTTGAAAATTGCCATGGCTTATCGGTCGGCCAATTCGAAAAGAAACAGGGCAAACCTTTTTCGGCAACCTAAGGGTGGAATGTTCAGAAGAGGTCATGAGTAAGTAGAGGGTACATCATTGATTGATTTCTCCGAAGGGAATAAAGTTAGAGCTAGTTGTCGGTTTGGTCAATTTTTGTCGGCGGACCCTCCCATTTCGCAGGCCTAAAATCTGAAAACCATGAAACATAGATAATGAAGAAAAACACAATGTCTTGTAGAACAGACAATTCTCTTCGAATGGTATACAACTCAATGTAAAAGCGTGGGGATTTAGATGAAAATTTTTTGGTTGAAAAAAAGCGACACTACTTATGAGACAACCTAATA